AAATAATATAATTTACCAATAGTTTAATTTAGCCATTCTGTTTTAAAATTACAAATCAGTGTATAATATCAGTATATGAATTAGTATATAATGCCATATGTTTGTCTCGAAGCGCTGGTAGGGCCCAAAAGATAAGGAGACATGTAAGTAAAGTGCCCCATAAGGGCTACGTTTTCGTTTTTTATATTTAAATTATGACGTTCATAAGTGCCACTTGTGGTCTAAACTGAATAAATATTTTTGATTTTGATTTTTTTAAAAGTATTTTCAAACAGCTAGGACTGGAATTCTCTGCTTGCTGCTGTCTTTCCCGAACACTAATCCGGACCTTTTGAAGATGCATCCTAGACTGCATCTCACTTAACACCAGGTGCGATTGCGGTCAAAAACCTGCCTTGTTGTGCATAAAAAACCGGCCAAGTGCGAGTCGGGCTCGCAAACCGAGGGTTCCGCCGNGAAAGATTTCACAGAACGCTAAAAGCAGCACTCATGGCAAGGAATGCTAACACAAATTGGGTAAAGGAAATACCCACAGTATTATTAGGATTAAGAAGCTGTGTTCGTGATGATACAGGTTATAGCGCCGCTGAGATGGTTTATGGTTCGCCGATAAGACTCCCCGGAGAATTTTTTGAAAAATCAAGCCCACATACCACGTATGAAGAATTTGTAAGAAACATCCACGAAAATATTGCTAAGATGATATCAATTCCCAAGCGCCAAAAATCAAATACTACAATATTTATTCATCCAGAACTTAAGGAATGCAGTCACGTATTTGTTCGCTGTGATAGAATACGAAAAAGCTTATGTCCACCATATGAAGGTCCATTTCCCGTTATCAGGCGATCAGAGAAATCATACTTAATTAAGATGAATAATAAAGAATCACTAATATCAATAGATAGATTAAAACCAGCATTTCTTGCAAACAACGACTGCGAAAACGTGACTAACCAGAAAACAGAAAACAGCACGTATACCACTAGATCAGGAAGAATTGTCAAGCGAGTGGTTCGATTTTGTTCACCTATATAAACATTTCACCATTTTCATTACATTCATTCCACAATTATTTTTCCGGAGAGTAATATATCATTGCAAGATGGGAAACCAAAGCTCCAAAGACCAAATCATCTATAACGCCGACAGTTGCCTCAATCAAAACGAAGCAGACCAACTCCGAGTAGAAATGCTCCAGGAGCTACAATGGACTAGGAATTTTATCATAGGACAAACTATTTTCAATATAGTTATTGCTATCGTGTACTTCATCATAAAATTCATGGACAAGAGAATGAAGTCCATTGCCAACAACCAATATACTCCATAATTGTAATTAATAAATTAGACAAATACCAACTTCTGTCTCATTTATAAACTCCCTTATCGTCGGCACAGTAAGCTTTACAAGCTCTTATTTTCGGGTGCGCCAAAGTTCACCTAAATTTTCAACTAGGAAAATTGGAAGTCCGAAAATGTTCTTCCTAAAATTTTTCATCCTAACAATCACAATTCCTAACTAATCTGTCTAATGTTCATAATTCCGAATCATTCAACTTCATAATGTCATTAGCAATAAACATCTATTATACTTTTATTTGTTCTCCTAGTTTTTCTAAACATAACCATATTTTACACTATTATTCAAAGTCATATCTTTTTTGTTTAGATTTCTTTCTTTGACGATAATATATTAAAGTTCAAGTTTGTTGGCATTAGCCCGTATACTTGAGTCCCGCTCCAGTCATTCAGTCAAGTTCCAGAAACGAATCGGTCCTATTCATAATTATGGTTTAGGTTAGGTTAGAACTGTGACCACAACGCACCAGCCGAGCGAGCGAAGCCAGAGTCCCGCTCCAGTCATTCAGTCAAGTTCCAGACACGAATCGGTCCTATTCATAATTATTGATTTAGGTTAGGTTAGAACTGTGACCACAACGCACCAGCCGAGCGAGCGAAGCCAGAGTCCCGCTCCAGTTATAAACATTTCACCATTTTCATTACATTCATCCCACAATTATTTTTCCGGAGAGTAATATATCATTGCAAGATGGGAAACCAAAGCTCCAAAGACCAAATCATCTATAACGCCGACAGTTGCCTCAATCAAAACGAAGCAGACCAACTCCGAGTAGAAATGCTCCAGGAGCTACAATGGACTAGGAATTTTATCATCGGACAAACTATTTTCAATATAGTTATTGCTATCGTGTACTTCATCATAAAGTTCATGGACAAGAGAATGAAGTCCATTGCCAACAACCAACATCGTAATTGCAACGGATAAAGGCGTACCAAGCATTTTACTAAGTGAGTCACAAACTCACAAAAAGCATCAGCAGTTTTTTATTTAATTTTTTTTTATATTGTACCATATATTAACGTAGATAATTTATGTATGTTATTGTAATTATTACATTATTGTTAAATTCTATTTTATAAAAGGGGGGGAGTACTGTGCCGGTATGCACAATACTCAATCTCTGCATACGTTATCTTAATCACGTTCACAGTGTCAGCAGATCTTTCACGTAACGATAAGATGCTAGATACTGTGACGTTACTTATCTCTCATTTTCTTTAGTATATAAACTCCATAATTGTAATTAATAAATTAGACAAATACCAACTTCTGTCTCATTTATAAACTCCCTTATCGTCGGCACACGCACCTATAGGTATTGTACATCATTTTGAGCGCCAAATTTTTGCCGACACGCCAGTACCATTTTGAGACCCCTACGATTTCATTTCGCGAATTTATTACATTTTTTGTGTTTTTAATTTAGACTTAGAAAATTTCCATATACTAAAATTTTATAACTTTGTCATTTTTGGTCCGATTTTCAAAATTTTTTCGCTTTAATAGACTCACCCCTTTCGGTTTAGCATCCCCCTGACGTCCGATTGACACCGCTCCATACTAAATTCTGCTTTTTTGGCGGTCTTTAGTGTTTTGGGTAACATCTGAGACGGTTTTTGGGCGTCATTTTCAAAATTTTCTTGGGGCCACCCCCGACGTTTATCGGCTATTCGTGTNTGTGTCATGTGTCCTAATTCCTCATATTCACGCATAAATTGGCAATACATTTTCTTATATTCAGGTAATTTATTTAATTTTCGCTCTAAAGATAAAAACCTATTATAAGCCATCGTGTATGATTCACCAAGATTATTTGTAGAATCTTTAAAAGGTATTCTAACTGAAAATCTACCGTTTTTTTCTCGTTTAGTTGTGCTTTCGAATAATTTGCTCGCAAAATAACTCATCTTCAGTGAGAACAAGACGTTTAGGAATATTTTCTATTTCCCAAAATTTACGAATTTCCGTATCTAAACTTTGAGAAAAATTACAAGACACTTGATTATTAATGCGCAAGCTGTCTGTATACAACGGACCTGAAACAAGCCAGCCTAGCTTACTATCTTGTAAGAACGGACCGTTAGGTAATCGAATTTTATTAACGTTTAATAACTCCCAAAACGTATCAGCACCTATCAAAATATCTATTTCTGAAGGTACATTAAAAGTGGGGTCTGCCAGTGAAATATTATCTGGTATTCGTATGAGATCACAATTAATGTGATTTGAAGGTACACGCATAGTAATATTCGGCAAAACTAAGCAAGTAATATTCGCATTATAATCACTCAACTTAGAACGTATATGAATATTACACGATTTATTAGAGTGTGAGACCGATTGTCCTACTCCTGAAATACGTATAGTGGACTGTAATAAAGATGCGTTTAAACGTTTACATAAGTTTTCTGTAATAATGCAATGTTCACTTCCGTTGTCAAGAAGAGCTCGGACGGTATGAAATTCGTTTTTATCGTCCGCAACTTCTATCAACGCAGTGGAAAGAAACACAATTTGTGTACCGCGCAGTATGTTGGGCGTACTCGAGTTAACGGTTGAGGAATGCANTATAAATGCTATTTAATAATAATTTTTGATTTAATATTATTGGTATAAAATGTAGATCAATACTTCCAATTAGAGATGTGCCGCTGAGAAAGTTCTCGTTCCCGGCAATATTCCCAGTGAGAATATTCTCGAGAACCGAGAACGCTCCCGGGAATATTCTCAGTGTTCTCGACAAAATACATTTAGTTGTAATTTTAATTTTGTTGTTTATATGTGATATTATTTGTAATGTTTCAATGTTTTATTACTAATTAACAAGGCATNGTATGAAGTATCGGCCTAATCAAATCGGTGTAATGTGCGCACTCCCATACATGCCCATACTGATCAACTGCCCGACTAAACTATCGGCCGACGAAAAATCGATGGTCTGCGCATAGGCTTAGGTGAACGACAAACGCGGCAATACGCCGCGATGCGTATAGTTCCAAAATACTGAACTGTCCTGTCCATGACATTGACAGTGGGGCGCCACCGTCAATACCGGATCGCTGGTTCCGATTTTTGCCATGTTGGAAACCATATAGTTTGACGATGGTAGCGCCCCCCTGTCATAGAGTTTGGTGGGACAGTTCAGCGTGGGTCATCTATAATTATATTAACAAGCAGTCATTATATTTAATAGTGGCCACGTCACGTGTCATGACATAGCTGGCATACGTCACGTGAATATTACATGCATGGTCGCGTCGCTTCATGTCTAGTTCCGTCGCTCACATAGGACAACGAACTACTTCTCAAACTGTTTCTGATTAATTTCTTGTCATTGACCTTCATTAGTTGAGTTTCTATTGGCGGTCTAGCTGTAGATCCTCGCTATACAGGAGTTGCAGTAGTGGGATTAGTCCCATGCTTTTTACGGCCCTGCACTATTCCCACCTCTCGTTCCCACCGCTGCAACTCCTGTGTAGCCAGGATCTACAGCTTGACCGCCAATAAAAACCCAACCAGTAAAGGTCAAGTTTGTCCCGGTAGAAAGTTAATGGGCCCCGTCTGCACGTTTGCATTTACATCATACCATTAACATCACAGTAGCAATAGATCATTAACAGTATTTGTGTCGCAGGCGGTGCGCACGACGCACTGCGGACGCGCGTGCCACGTGTCGTGCGGCGCGGAGGCGGCGTGCGCGCTGTGCGGGCGGCGCGTGCCCGAGGGCGCCGCGCCCGCGCCCGCGCCGCCCGCCCGCCGCGACCTGCCGCCGCTCGACCACGCGCTCTCGCTCGTCGCGCCGCCGCGCCCCGACCTGGAAGGGATCGTGTGAATACTCACCTACTACAAGTAATAGGCTAGTTTCCTAAAAAAATTTTTTAATCAGTCATGTTTAATATCAAAAAATATTGGACACATATATTTTTATTTGTCAATCTAACAAATAATTACATAGTTATTGAAGTTCCGCACGACTTCACAACGTGCGAGCATTGACTTCACGGGCCTCTTCTTATGAACTTTGGCGCACTTTATCTCTTTAAATTTTCATTAGTTTGAAAAAGTGAAAAATACCTACGTGTAGAGTATTTTTTGATAAGTTAACTGACGGACTAATTTAAACTCTTGCTTTTTGACCCAGGAAACATCCCTACTCTACGCAGCAGATGGGCGAACCGTGGACGTGGGTGATAACGTAGCGAGAAGCTATGTCAGCGTAGCCGAGAAGTTAATGATGAAAATAAAATTACATTCCGTCTTTGTAAAACTCAGCACCGATTTAATATTCTATTTATTTGCTCGAAGAGAACGAAACGTAACAAGAAATGTGATGTATCTCACCTGTCTGCCGTAGCCATTCTGTTTCATCGCCATTTCATAAACAGCAAAATGTTAATTGTTATCTGGCCTATCTGACAATGCGATGCGATCGCTTTATAACAAAACTTCATATTTACCCCCCTTGTGCTATTTTCACTGCTCACATGGACGGAACGGCGCACGGCGTAAAAAGGAATATCGATAATTCAATGTTATTATAATTTTAGGAAATAAAATTATAATCGTTTTCTGTGGTTTTCATTTTATGAATTAGCATAATGTGTTGGAAAAACCTTTAGCGTTGTTAATACTAATATTGTCACGCAAGATTAAACTTTTACTAGTTTTCTTTTATTAGTCCGCAACTTCACAGATCGTTTTAAATTATGGCTATGTCATGCTGATGTAAACAGGGTGTCCCGTAAAGACTGTGCCAAACTTAAGGAGATAATAAGACTATAATGGATGGATGATTCAAATAACTAGAAATTATGATCAATTATTTTTTAAGAACAACACTGTCTACTATTAGTTTGAGAGGATGGATATAATTATGTTTGTTATGTATCCATCTTCTCAAAATACACACACATAATTTATGTCTTCGCTTGACACTTGGAGCCAAATAAAACTCGGAATTTTGAGGTTTTTAGTATAATAGAAAATTAATAGTACAAAATGATGTGCGTATCGCGACGATCGGAATTCGGAAGGCAAGACATATACCTACTCACTGATTAATCACGAAATTTCAGAACTTGAAAGGCATGTATGTTCCTTATAGGTGTAGACATCCACTAAGGCTGACATCACACGGACTGCATCGCAGCTACCGCGCGCGATCGATATGTTTAACTGCATGCAGTTGTACGTTCGACTTCGTGCAGGTGCAGTCATGATAATATCAACTGCACACGGTCGTTTGCAGTCGAGTGAAACCATTATCAACTCTATGCAGTAGTGCCTTCAACTTCGCGAGGTGTAGTGTCACCGCATGCTGTCCACTGCCGTTCGCATACAGTTAGTCTTCGTGCTTGCACACNATCCCTATTCTACGCAGCAGATAACGGGCGAGCCGTGGACGTGGGTGATATCGTAGCGAGAAGCTATGTTAGCGTAGCCGAGAAGTTAATGATGAAAATAAAATTACATTCCGTCTGTGTAAAACTCAGCACTGATTTAAAATTCTATTTATTAGCTCGAAGAGAACGAAACGTAACAAGAAATGTGATGTATCTCACCTGTCTACCGTAGCCATTCTGTTTCATCGCCATTTCATAAACAGCAAAATGTTAATTGTTATCTGGCCTATCTGACAATGCGATGCGATCGCTTTATAACAAAACTTCATATTTACCCCCCTTGTGCTATTTTCACTGCTCACATGGACGGAACGGCGCACGGCGTAAAAAGAAATATCGATAATTCAATGTTATTATAATTTTAGGAAATAAAATTATAATCGTTTTCTGTGGTTTTCATTTTATGAGTTAGCATAATGTGTTGGAAAAACCTTTAGCGTTGTTAATACTAATATTGTCACGCAAGATTAAACTTTTACTAGTTTTTGTCCGCAACTTCACAGATCGTTTTAAATTATGGCCATGTCATGCTGATGTAAACAGGGTGTCCCGTAAAGACTGTGCCACACTTAAGGAGATAATAAGACTATAATGGATGAATGATTCAAATAACTAGAAATTATGATCAATTATTTTTTAGGAACAACACTGTCTACTAATACATTAAATGTGAAAGTTTGAGAGGATGGATATATGTTTGTTATGTATCCATCTTCTCAAAATACACACACATATACCTACTCACTGATTACGAAAGGCATGTATGTTCCTTATAGGTGTAGACATCCACTAAGGCTGACATCACACGGACTGCATCGCAGCTACCGCGCGCGGTCGATGTTTAACTGCATGCAGTTGTACGTTCGACTTCGTGCAGTCATGATAATATCAACTGCACACGGTCGTTTGCAGTCGAGTGAAACCATTATCAACTCCCTTTTGTACCCTTTGCACCACCGGCCTGCACCACTGGTGGTGCAAAGGGTATTTTTTAATCCCTTTTGCACCACCAATAGTGCCGCCCTACAATTAACAGTAAAACGATTATCGATAATCATGCAATATTAATATTATAAAGAGGAAAGATTTGATTGTTTGTTTGTACTGAATAGGCTCCGAAACTACTGGACAGATTTGACAACATAACATAAAAATTAATAACAACCATTCATACCTACATACAACGAATAATTCCTATAGTACCAGGGCAACATAATCATAAAGGAGCTATATCAAATTCTTCTTGGTTGACCCGAGAAATAAACATCATGTATCATAAAATAGCTCCTTTATGGTTATGTTGCCCTGGTACTTTATTCGTTGTATGTAGGATGTAGGCCCGGGGTATCATGGGTCTGAAGTGAAATGTTTATAGGCACTTACACACACACAAATTAAAACTTTTAGGTAGGTTTTGATTTATTTATAACAATTAAATAATTAAGTATTTTACAGTCTACTACTAGTTTTACAGTCGATGGTAGCACAGCACTATTTGTTGGTGGTGCAAGAGGGATTTAAAAATACCCTTTGCACCACCAGTGGTGCAGGCCGGTGGTGCAAAGGGTACAAAAGGTATCAACTCTATGCAGTAGTGCCTTCAACTTCGCGCGGTGTAGTGTCACCGCATGCTGTCCACCGCCGTTCGCATACAGTTAGTCTTGGAGCCGAACGCGCGTCGGTTGCGTCGAATGGTTTGAAAAATAGGTTTTGACACCGACTTCTTTATTTCTTTAATAAAAAGTAAAGTCAGCATAATATTATGGAATTATGAAACTCAAGAATATAGTAACAAAATAAAGCGCAATAATGATTGGGCTTTTGTATGCGAATCAATGATACTAAATTTTGTAGAAAAGAATTATAAGGAAAAAAATGCAATTCGTAAGTTTACAACTTAAGAAATTGTATAACAACTTTTAATTTTTACTTATTCATGGTCTAAAAACAACTACGAGCAATATTTTGCAGGGCTTAAGAGCTTTAAACTGTGATACTAAACAACTTTCTCAAAGAAACGTGGGTCGAAATATGAAAAATCTTTGGACCTCCCATACAAAGTCCATGACATATTTTATATCTTGAACCTTGTCTCTGAGAAAGTCAGCACACAACTGACTGCATGCAGTTAAATATAGCGACTGCGTGCGGTTGTTGTGGTGCAGTCCGTGTGATGTCACCCTTAGAACGGATTTTACAAAACCACCCCTAAGGGGGAAAAACGGGGTCTAGGCATACGAAGTCGCGGGCGCACGATGCACGCGATAGTTCAGCTTCTATGACAGAAATTCATTTTTTTTTTAAATAAATCTGTTAAAGATACCTATTGATAGTTTTTAAAATAAAACAAATAATTATTCATAAACTATATTTATTTAAAACTAAGTTGACTGTCAAGGTCATACACCAAACACACGTAATAATGAACAATACATAAATCTACTATAAACAGTGAATTACCACCAAGGTTTGCTTAAATTATACTGTAGACATGCAATAAGTAAAAATCTTCATGTACGGGTGTACTTACATTATTTTGTAATGCGAATGCAACGGATCCACAGACTTTACTAAAGACTCTAAAACGCAACAAATGTACTTAGGCAAAGCATTAAAACGACATCTTAATAATTCTGAAATAAGCAAACAATAAAAGATGTTTGGATGGGTAAAGTTTTTAGTACGCGAAGACAAATACTGAACTTGCGTAACAAATAATAGAAGTAGCTTTTGGTCTTATATTAAATAATTGTTAATTATTTTCTACTACAACTCGTATAATATTTATTTATCTAATATTATAATAATAACATTTAAATGAACCATAAAAAATATTAGTTGAATTTCAAGTCTTTTAGAATAAAACAATGCCTAAATCAACATGACATTACTAATATTAAGCTATTGCTTTTTTTATTATGAATTTTTATAAGTATAAAAAGTTCTAAACACCTAACTCAGGTTCTATTTAATATGGTAGTTCTACCATAATAATAATCACCATTTTCTTTTATAAAAAATTACTATTTTATTTAATTTGCATTGTAATTACAGCTAGATTCAGTGCACATGTGAAAAAGAAATACAATAGTTAGCAAAACAAACACCTTATTAGACGGATTATGCAATATCTGCTTGCTGTATCAGACCTCTAAATGGAACCCTTTACTGATAGATATTAAGAGGTAAATAGTAAGTTATAATAGTATTTTATTATAAATCTTTCAATATTAAGACAATTTTCTTGATAATAACGCCTTTGGTATTAACACTGCAGTACACGCGCCCCTTTTTTTACACTAATACACGCGCGGCCTACTCTGGTAAGCCAATTTAAAATCACTGTAAATCAGTTTATAAGCAATTTATGAATAGAATTACTATGTAAATGATAAAAGTGTTTATTATAGTTATTTTATAATCAAAGTTTCTTTATATAACTATTTGGGATCAAACATTATAAACAGATTTAAAAGTTGTAAATTTTTTGGACCAAAATTGCACTTTGAGACCAATGTTAACAAAAAAAAAATGACTGAAAAAATATGATTAGTTTTTTATCTGTCATAGTATTCATGACTTTCTACTGCCTGGTACACGGTGTAAATCCATTTGTTACAAGTCTTTCATAATTTTTTTGTCGAGTGATTTTGGGCTTTTGAGTAGACCCGCAGTTTTGACAGCCAATTTTAGAAAAGTGCGCAGACTCTAGCGACCCAAGCTTTACTGGCTTACTGACAAATTTAGTAAACGAGGCTTTCCTGGAATGCCAGCTCTCTGGCGCAAGTTTTCAAAAAGTTATAGCGTAAAATGTTACCCTGGTCTACTATAGTAGTCCGCGCGTGTACTCTAGTGTTAAAGGAAGTCTGAAAATGAGCTTTCGAACGATTTTTAAAATTCTTGTATTGATTTCAGAATCTATCAATACGTATGCGCAACTAAGGGCCCTTTCTCATTGGGACACTATGGCTGCGCTACTGCATCGAGGAGTCTTGAGCTACTAAACAAGACATTTTCGTTTGCCGGTAACAAATTAGCTGCACAACCAAACCGATACCAGATGAGGTAGCTTCTAGTATTATATTTAGTATGTGGCGATGAGATAGGGCCCTTAGAACGTTAAAGTTGTCTTCAAACTTTTTCAGTTACAATGTCGTCTACTTTTTTTAGATTAATAATTTCTAATTGTTCTTAGCAATAGTAATAATCAATTCTGTCATAAGATAAACCAAGAGGTTGTGTAAAATGAAACTTAAAATAACTCTATGGAGTAAAAAAAGCACTCCAAAGCATAAACAATATTAATTATATCATGAGCTAATCTGTAAATTGCCAGTTAACTAAAGAATGAATTGACGAATCCATGGGCCGTCACAGATAGCATCATTTCAGTAAATAAATAAACCAGTTTGATATACTTTTATCAAATACGTGAATGGTAAGAAAGTAATTTCATATTTACCCATTAACGGACAACAAATTATCGAGGCGATAATGAGAGCTAATTCTTTCCGATAGGCATGGAAAAATAATTAGACTAAGAGCTAGTGAACGCCAGACTTACGTCATTTCATAAAAGCTGAAAGTTTGTCAGCGTATGCTCCCAATATAGGTCATAATGTTGGTGACTTATGAAGTTTGGGTCATGGTGGCTTTGGGAGCTACCCTAAAAAAACTGCAAGGAGTTGGAACTGTCAAAACTGTCTGGCTGTTGGGGAAAATACTTCTAATTATTGCCCAAAATTTGCCAACATATCAAGCTTTCTTAATAAATTATGTACTTGAAATAGTGAAAAAGACTAACAAAACAAAACAAAAAAAAACTTGCTAAATATCCCCAATCCACTTGAGTTAATAAATCTGAGAAAAGGGTGGGGAATTGGGGATACTCATATTTCAGTGTGTCCATCTTAGATTTTTGTGCTTTGAGCCATATTTTATCATTTTTGATGTCTATAAAAAAAGTATGTATGTTTGCACAGATTACATTTACTTATTAATAGACGTTTGTTATGATACGAACACTGTGGCCGCGTGTACGTTTGCACAAAGATGACATCATACAAATTCGTGCAAGTTGCAAACGTACGTTTAACGCCTATCATCTGAAGCTCTAGGATTTTAAAAATAAAATAAAACTTTTATTCTATTGCAACTACTAACAATAGAAATTATTAACAATTGTTTTTCAAACTATTCGCGAAGCTTAAATTTTATATAACATTCCTCATGGTAGTGAATGAATGTACAATAACCTGATAAAGAATGTAAATAAATATATAATTACTCGGCATTGTCGTAACGCACTCTGAAAAAGAAAAGATAAAATGTTTTATTACTTATATTTTTATTACTTAAATATGAAAATATGATTTGACTGTCAGTAAAAATTTTATTGGATCTGTAATTTAATTAACTTTTTATGTTAAGATCCATTCTCTAACAAAAGAAGCTAACAAGCAGTATCATAGATATTTCATATTAATTTATTTTCGATTCTGTAAAGCAGAAGCTAGTCACATGAATGAAGGATACGCGCTAGATTTCGCCTGCGCGGTGATAATCCCGTAAAGTAATTTGTTACTGTACCTTTGACGCTGTCCTCTCCTCTTGCTCAACCTGCGGCCTGAAGACGGATCTTGCAATGTGAAACGGTTTGTAGTCTCCGGAGCTACTCTTAGGCTACGAGCATCGGAAGAGCGTGCTACTGTCACCTATTACATAAAAATATGAACTTATTAGTAAGGAATTGATACACTTGACATGTCATGCAAATGACAGAATAATATACCTTATCCATAAATTTTTTAATCAATTCTGGACAATTTAAGTTGCTTTCTGGTTCCCAAGAATCAAATTTGCTGGACCATCCTTTCCAGTGAATGAGGAAATCCCTTTTTCCATTTTTCTTGTGGTGAACTTCTAGGATGCGATCAACCTTTAAGAAAGAAGAATAATGTTTAATTAAGCATAAAAACAAAAAGTAAAGTTAAGTTTGAATAAATTTAAGTAATTAACAAAATACAAAAAAATGTCTACCTCATACTCTGCATTTTCATCAGCACTTTTACTGTCCCAATCATTTTTACTTCTTTTTGCAACCTTTTTAGTTTCCTTGATTGCTGCTGCCTTCCGTTTATTGTTCTTTTTACCTGGTTTACTTTCTTTAGTTTTTGAGTTTTCTTTCTACAAAATAATACAATGAATGTTACAAATTGTAAATTGGAATACAGTAGTACATCATCAACAATAGTCATAAAATAACCTCCATCTGTGTTGGAAAACATAATTTTAGTTTTACCAATTTGGAGTTTCAATATCTTATATTTGAGTTCTTTGACCCAATGTTTACAGGAAGATTATTGAAAGTAAAAATTAATATAGTAACAATCTGGTAATGCTGATGTTTAAAATGAGTAGGTTAAAATCAAAAGGTGTTATTACTTGTCTGCACGGTTGGGGGAAAAAGGAAAATAATAGCAAATAAATGGCAAGGGCATCATAATGCAAAATTTTAAAATTATTTCTAATTTTAGAGGACTAGGGTGTGTCACACCCCTGGTGCAGCGAGGGTTAAGCATCTCTAGAGCTCTAGAAAAATAAAACTGTTTTGTAAAATTACCAGTTTCCAGAAATTAAATTTTGTCATAAGTAAAATTAGGTCTATTAAATGTTTATAATCAATAATTAATTAGGTACCCAAGTGATTAACAAATGACTGCCAATTTATTAGACAAAATTATACATATTATTTATGTTTTAAGTATATTATTATCCATTATTACAACATACTAATTATCTTTTTCAAAATATTTATGGATATTGTATTCAAATAAAAAAATGAGGCCTTATGCAATAAAGTTACATGTGTAGGAAAAAAGTGCTTTTCATGGAATATGGTTGCAGGAAGTTTAAGGAATAAGCCAAATTTTGCTATCATAAAAAGAATCAAATTACCACATACCTCATCATTAAACTTGTTGATCAAATCAGGACAAGATAGAGTGTTTTCAGGTTCCCAAGTATCACTGTCAGCAGAGTATCCCTTCCAACGTATCAAGTAATGCAATTTCCCTTTGATTTTTTTGGAATCAATTATTTTTTCAACCTGAAACAAATGAGCAAATCTTGTGAGTACGGGGTCCTGTACTCCCAGAATGCACTGAACGAAACCAAAGCCCTTCCATTTTTAAGTCAATCTCCGATTAATATAGGTTTCAGGTAATAGGTTAACAGGCTTTATTAAAAGGAGTGTAGACAGTACAACACCAGATATAACACAACCTCAATAAAATTGAAAAGCGGCGCCTTAATTTGATAGAAAATAACAGCTGAATTTCAAGCAAATCATACATAATACATTAAGATTAAACTTTAGTCTTCGTCAACCTATTTTATTGTACTTAATGTTAAGAACTATGGAGTTAAACTGAGTTATTATTGAGCAAGATGCAACAGTCTACTTAATTAAACATAAGTTAGGTACCTCGTATTCTTCTTCCGTCTCTTTCTCAGATTTCCTTTTTTTACCTTTTCCTTTATTTCCTTTACTCTTTTTAGGTGGCGTAGCATCGGAATTATCATCGATGCTTTGGTCGACGCTTTCGTTCGCCGACTCTACCTCCTTTTCATTTTGGTCAGTTGGTGGCTCGGCATCTGTCGCTTGATCGTCATTTGCAATAGATCCATTAGTTGACGATACAACATCGTCATCTGCACGACTTTTGGATATTTTCCTCATGGTGAATTTGCGAAGATAAACAATTTTAATTTGTTTCGACGTAAAAGGAGGGAAAACGAAATGGCACGCTGACTGTGACGGCGCTGCTGACGCTTGTTAGCTTGGGCCAACCACAGACTAGAGAGTAATGTGGGCCAACCACAGACTAGAGAGTATGTGGGTCAACCAAAGAGTATGGCTTGGGCCATATAAATGCTATTTAATAATAATTTTTGATTTAATATTATTGGTATANTATCTCCACGTATTAATCCTACCTCAATAGGGCGACGAACGTGTGGGGAAGGAGAAAGTAATCGAGATGATGTTCATACTAATAACGTCTTGGCCAATTTCCTGCATAGTGTACTTGCGCCCTATCAAATAGGAAAATCCGATACGTACGATGGCGATACGATACATTCACAACACTAAACATAATTGACTATTGTGCTGACCACAGACAAGCCAGAAGCCAGATTGTCAATAATGTCAACCAACTGTCATTAATGACGTCTGTCTCCTTCACTTCGACTTCAACGAAGCGATATAAAAATACAATAAAATAATAAGTTTGCTGAAAGAATCTAGAAAATCATGACAAGCAGAAATAGTTTTAAAGGTACACGAATGAATTTTAAAGTACAAAATGAACCTACAGAAGGTAAAGGCACCAAACCCATTCGCGAAGCATCGTCTGTCTTAGAAGTCCTGACTTTAATGATTGTGCACATTTGCAAGAAGATACTTTTCTTTGACACCAATTTAAAAATAGCCCTGTATTTAGGAACCTTATTCTTACTGTCTCTAATAGCAGATGTGTTAACTTTTCCTAAATCATATTTTTCTAGAAGTGATAATGTACTGAATCAATATTTTGTGAAAATTGGTTGGTTTTGGACACTGTTTTTAACAGTACCGTACGTTCTTTTGACTTCGTACACTACATGCTGTGGAAAAAGACGATTAATATTGACTGCTCATTTAGCAAGACTATTTATTGCTACATTCTTTTGGTATACATGGACTACACTTTTCAACTACATTGAAACAAACTATGGACGATGTAATATGAGACAAATAAGTGACAAGAGTACTTGTTTAAAAAATGGCCATTTCTGGAATGGTTTCGACATATCAGGTCATAGCTTTTTACTAATATATTCTAGCTTAGTTTTGATTGAAGAAGCCAGAGCAATAAATGGTTGGGAAGGAATAAAAGACTTCATTAGAGATGAAAAGTATTCAAGAAGCATTGATGATCGCTCAGCGAGTGTAAACCCTCTCAAAAATATTAACACTGAAGAATTGGAAATTTTGAAAGTCTCTTATGAAAATTTTACACCATATGTCAGAGGTTTCTTGATTGCTATTACTCTTTTTCAAATATTATGGGATGTCATGCTAGTTTCAACAATATTGTATTATCACATAATGGTGGAAAAATTTATAAGTGGTGTAATAGCAATTTTAACATGGTTTGTAACATACAGAGTTTGGTATACCATACCAAATATATTACCAAATTTGCCTGGAGAAGGAATATTTAAATACAATAAAGAAAAACAGACTGCAACAACTTCTGTTCACCGGAAACGAATGAGTAGTACTAATGGAAAACACTTTATGGGCATGCCAATCAATAAAACTCAAGAAGTTCCAGATACTTCAAAGGAAGAATCAAGATAATGTGTGAATTTCTTCATAAGTATAATTTATTTATTTTGTTTATGAGGGTTTTTAATAAATAATTCTTATGGTGCATTAGTCTAAGAATACAGTTTAAAATGACCCAGATGGTGAATTGTGTATTTTAATATAAAGTTTACTTAGTAAAGGAAAGGGTTGGGTTCTTATGTTTAACTTTATGGTCTGAGAAATATGGATACAATAAATAGTAAATATTTAATTATTATTATTTATACAATCAAAATTGTAGTTGATTTAAAAATTGTTTTTACAATATTTCTACAACAGTTAAAAATATGTTATTTGTCCATTATTTTGTACAAATTGTATTGTAAGATTGTGTGAACCACATTTTAAACTAACACATTTTCTCCCTACTAAGCTATTTTTTCTATATTTATTACATGTTATTTATGATGAATGAATCATTATGATTGTTAAAATACCAATCTCTTAAATATGTAAAATAGACCTGCAACTACACCAATTGAAGCAACACCTGCAGCTCCAACATACATAGGAGGTTGAGACATGATGATCATTTTTATATGGAATGGGAGATTAGGAATGGTTCGTTTGAATGAATCTCTTTGTTTGACTCTTTCATAATACTTTTCTAATAATGGACGTTTGCCACCTGCCCAATATCTGCCTTCTAGTCCAAGTTCCCACAATCTTTGAAGTAGTATAGCCAAATTAATATCAGCTATAGTAAATGTTTCACAGCACAACCAGTTACCTGAAATGATTAATGTAAATTCATGATGATTGTTATTTAAAATACCTATTTCATGTTTGTAATTTGTTATTTAATAAAAAAAAGTTTTACCTTCACTCTGCTTCCTTAATTGCTCCTCAACATGAGACAGTACTTCATCAACAATATTTAACACTTTTAAATATTCATCTTCATTAGATAATATTTCATGTTTTCTGTCTTGTATTTCTGCTTTGTATAATAATATGCCCTTGGCATTAGGATTTTCCTCTGCTAGTTTTCTCAAATTTTTCGAACTGCCCAAATCTCCAGCTGGAATCGTGAAACAGTAGGTAGGTAATGTTATTTCGTATTCATTGTTAACGAACACCGAGTTATCAAGATTATGATATCAAACATTGATAAAACTTTATCATGTATTTGTTTGGTATTAACTTTGTAATTGTAAATAAATAAATTGATTATAAACAAAGATGAACATACTCTTCAGCACTTCTCTAACAGGTAACACAAATGGTAATTTAGGACTCCCACATAGATGTGGATGAAAGAATGACCCCACAGTTATAACTCCTGCTGGTAATGCTTCAATTATGTCCCGAAATTTGTTAATGCTATCTAAAACTTTTTTGTCGGTTGAGACATTAATCAGCGATGGAAGCTCTGTAAAAATAATTTTAAATCATAAAATTGTATTGAAAAAATAGAAAGAAACGACTAAAAAAAATCTTTCTTACCTGGATCTAAATATAGCTCTAAATAATCTAAAATTCGAGTGGAATCCGGTATGGTCTCATTCTTCACTTTAAGCACAGGAATTTCACCCCGAGGGTTTATTTCCAGGAACCAGGATGAATACTGTTCGCCTTTAGTAATGTCGACCTCTAAAGGCTCAAAATCTATATTTTTTTCGTAAAGAGCCATCAAAACCTGCAAGATTTTCGTGATTATAACAAAACTATATAACAACAGTGTAACAAAACTATATAAAAACAGTGTAAGATAATGAAACTTACCTTTTGGGAATAAAAGCTATAATAATTACAATATAGTAGAATATTCGACTTCGAGCCAGCAGGTGTTTTCGCATTTGTTTTAATGATTGGTAATTTTTCCATAAACTTCTGTACGTAATGCATTTTAGTAATTTATTTACTGCACTGTTTTAATTTGAGCACTACAATTCTATGAAAAACTAATAAAAAACACCGCAAAAAAATTACCAATCTTTAAAAGAAATGTATAGGCGGGTTTTTTCACGTAAAGACTACCAACATCAGAATAATTAAATCAGCTGACACAAAAAATGTTATGCTTACCATAGACTACAGAATTCAAATATTATTGAATCGAGTGCTCGTTGATACAAGCAACGTTTCGTATCGTACGTACTACCGTACTACATCCCTACGCATTTTTGACAGACGCTAGCTGTGGAAATTCTGTCATTTAATTTTTATGTACCTACATTTTAGGGAATATTAATTAAAAATGCAGTGTTTTACATACTAATTACTTCAGGTTTATGAAGTTTTGTAATAAATCCTATATATGCTATAATTAATACATATATTGCATTGGGATTATGATAGTTTTTTAGCAAAACATAAAATTGAAGATGGAGGTGTCTAACAACACCGACGCCGTCAACCTTGGCGTTGGCGAAGTGGAAGCAGAAATCGGAGAAGAATTGAAACAATTAGAAGAAGGCAAAGACTTTGATACTCGTAGTGAAGTGTCTAGTTCATCCACCAGCGAATCTACTACTCCTAGTATCAGTTCTGTTAGTACGAAATCAAAGGACAGACGTGTAAATCGCAAACGTACCAAGTCTAAGAGCCATTCCCCCGTACAAAGTAAGCGAAGATGTGTTGCAGATGCCAAAATCAAAATAAAAACCTATGATTACATGACTAAGCTCAATTACTTGTTTAGAGATACTCGTTTCTTCTTGATAAAATCAAACAATGCAGAAAATATAACATTGTCTAAAGCAAAGGGAGTATGGTCTACCTTGCCACAGAATGAAGCTAATCTAAATCAAGCATATAGAGAATCACGAAATGTGTTGTTAATATTTTCTGTAAAGGAGAGTGGAAAATTTGCTGGTTTTGCTCGTTTGGGAAGTGAATCTCGACGAGATGTACCACCTATTTCCTGGGTCCTACCACCTGGCCTCTCAGCAAAAGTTTTAGATGGTGTGTTCAAAGTAGATTGGATTTGTCGCAAGGAATTACCATTCAGCAGTACACTGCATCTATACAATCCTTGGAATGAAGGAAAACCTGTCAAAATTGGCAGGGATGGACAGGAAATTGAACCAAAAGTTGCTGAAGAATTGTGTCGACTATTTCCAGAAGATGAGGGTATTGAAATGACACCCATATTACGAAAATCAAAGGAAGCATCTAAACGGAATTATACGAAAAGTGGAGGAAGTTACAGAACATATAGAGCACCTCTATCATCAAGAGGATCCAATTATAGAAGTAGGTTGGGCTCTACTAGGAGCAGGAGAAAACCGTTTATGTCTCCAAGAAGCAGGCTGTCTTCAAATTCATATAAGAGAAGATCTCCCTCACCTTATATGAGGGAAAGATTACCAGTGTGGTTTGGAAGAAGCCGTGATAATTACAGTAGCAGTGGCTCTGCTGCTGCTGAGGCTTATGTAGCCGAGTATATGCGCTCCATGCATCATCAACTGCCCCCGTTACCGTACGTGCCTCCACCAGGGTTTAGTGGTGCCCTCTCGACATATGATGGTCTACCACCTCCACCAATACCACCTCCTCCACGTTACTATGACATGTCTGACTACCCACGTTCAGTGTTAGTTTATGATAAAAGATCATATGAACGTTCCGTTGATGAGTTTTTGTGGCGTACTTCTGACCGTTCTCGTGGGCGCAGTCGCGAACGTGAACAACACAGATCTTATAGAGATCGACGTTAAAGTGTATCTTGACCACCGATGTATTAATTATTTCATATTTACTAATAAAATTTTGTGTTTGAACTTTGAACTTTATTGAATCAAAATAAAGAAGTGTTGTGATGAACCTTTTTGAATGGAACAGTTTTTATTTCAGTTTGGACAATTTTATCTATAGGAAAACAAATCGGACTATTGCAGTGAAATCAATAGTAGAATACAAATGAACATCTCAATTATTATACAGGGTATAATGTTTTGTGGAATTAAGACTAGTGGAGTCATTGTTAAAAAACTATGACCTTATTTATATTATGCTAGGAAATAAAATGTAACATAAAGAGAAAAGAAGTTATTAATGTTTGTGATGGATGATTGTTACTTTATGTTACTTTTTATTTCTATTTACATAATGATAAAACCAAATGACTGCATGTTTTTGTACAACTCAATTATTTTGGTTGTGTATATGATCTGTGATATAACTTAGTGTGTATACATTCAAAAATTAATTATAAACCAAAGTATATAATCAAACAAAATTTATTGAAAAGACCAAAATTTTGTTGAATATTTTTTTACTTTCGTAATATTTATCTTGTAATAATATTATGGCTTAATACTTAAACCAATTTACGAATTGAAATGTTTTCTGTCATGATGAATGTAATGTCCACTATCTACAATTAATTCAAGTTAACTACCTGCTTGGTTGATATGTTGTCCTAGCTGCTAAAACTTAGACACTAAAAGGTCCTAAAAAGATTATGATACAATTGTTTAATTTAAAATTTGAGTTATAAAGGCCTGCTGAGCTAGATAATATTTTCATTAGTAAGACTAGATTCTGGAACCTGCCACCAAAAAATATATCACATGTCATACATTGTATAATTTCATATTCATTGATATGTATATTCATATAACGCTGTTTGAATGTGTGTAGGTAAAGTCTGAGCCCCGATTACGGTAACTTTTAACGTCAACAATCCAGACACGCTTCTCGATTCTGCGATACGATTGGTCAAAACAGCTGACGTACGCTGTTGAACGACCAATCGTATCGCAGAATCGAGAAGCGTGTCTGGATTGTTGACGTTAAAAGTTACCGTAATCGGGGCTCTGGTCGCCGAGCAGATAGAATTTCGTACAATGACCCCAAGCTACCCATCCTAATTGCTCGCGCGTAATTATATTGCTGTCGCGTTTGCACACTCACTGCGGCCACCTGTCGCACAGTCACGACATCAATACAGGGTGTTAGGTAAATGGGTATACATATGAGCCGACACTAGCCCATGTTAACATGGTCATATAAATGGTATGATGAAGTCAGAAAATTGATATCTTCATTTTAATTATTTTATTTCTCATACAAATCGGATTTTATAAAATTTATTTTGTATGAAAATTATAAAAATGAAAATGATGATATCAAATTTCTGTCTTCACCATACCATTTATATGCCCATGTTAACATGGGCTTGTGTCGGCTCATATACCCATTTACCTAACACCCTGTATAATTACGCACGAGCGATTAGGATGGGTAGCTTGGGGTCATTGTACGAAATTCTATCTGCTCGACGACCGGACTTTAGGGTATGTATCGCGATTAGGGCTGCCAGGTCCTAAAACACAAAAGCCGGACTCTGTGCTTTATTTGGCCGGACATTTTACCCTAAAAGCCGGACATGTCACGCAATTAGTGTCATAGCTTACGAGTGAATTCTATCATCATCGGTTGCCCAACATCCTGATGAGTGCGCTTGATATTATTCTGCAGCTCGACTTTCGCCTGGCGCGGCAACCACATAAAAAGGACAGGCCGGACACCTGGCAACCCTAATCGCGATAAGATTCGAAAACTAATAATGAGTTAATACAGGGTGTAAAAAAAGTATCTCCTTGTATGCAGGCAATCGCCGGCAGGGACTGTGACAGTTGAAGATTTTTTCCTGACCATCATAGTCCTCCAATTAAGGCCGGGATTATTTTAGTGGGTATACCTCTTTCCTTCCGATGAGGGGACCACCACATTACTTACCTTATCCTGTGAAGGTATGCATGCATTTTTCCCCGAAAAAAAAATAGTATAAAAAATTGATCACGACGTTTATGTGCCAAGCACTAAAGCCTTGTTGCAGTACCTAGTCGAGTAGGTAATTAGTGTTTTTTTATAATTATGAACTCTACTAATTAGCTTAGTAGGACTCCGGCGATGTGCCAGTGAGCAGGGACGCGTGGTGGGGGTTGCTACTCGCCTGTGAAAATATAAAAAAAATAGTGTGGCTCGACTAAACGATTTAGTAACCTACTCGACTACATTTTTGTTATTCAGATACGTTTAGCTACTTAATTACTCGCCACTCGACTAAATTACCCAACTAGTGCGAACAAGACTTACGACTGCGATTATATGAGACCAAATTGTACCGCGTGGCGGCGGTTACATAATAGATATCAGAATGTTTTTTTTCTTTAACTTTTTATCACTAAAGGGGTAAACATATTAGCCGAGTGTTATTACGCGCGCCCGCGCGCCTCGTGATAGAATCTATATTTGACAGCAGCCTTGACTTTGTGTTGTATTTTTTACACCCCTTATTAACGCATTATTGAGTTGTTGTCAAGATTCATACCTCAGTCAGACATTTTAAAAACGATATTTTTGGATGCCAATATTCCTAAATGGATTAACACGTACATTTTCTTTCATATTCATAAACAGGACCAACCACTGAACCACTTCGCGTTGTAGTTTCATTAGTCACAAAATTGAATTAAATGGATAGCCATAATATTATTACTTAGGTTACTATTTTAGATTGTTGAATATAAATAATTTATGTACAGATGGAGAATTATTTATATTTGACATTACTTAAGAAATATAGGAAATAGTAGGTGGAAAGTAACGTAAGATAAGCTGAACCAGCCAGAACCACGGTTATGTCTAGATTCATTCGTTCGTTCCAGCCAAAATAAGTACGCGAAAATGTTGCCACGATCTCCGCCCAAAATAAAGATAATTAAACTTATGATAAAGTACACAATGATGGATTGATTACGGCTGCAAAATTATGCTGTTAAACTGCTCGGCTATACTATAGACACGGGTTCGAATCCCTGTGGATGAAGATAGTAGGTACATAATTTGTTACATTACAACGTGTCCCAAAATTCAAGGATAAGCCAACGCCACAGGACGGACATAGTCATGACTACTTTAGGAAAAATAAGGAAAAAAATCTATCTCAATTATTTTTTTACTTACACAATAAATTATGAAATTCGACGAAAATTGACACCCCTTATGATATTTTACATTACCGCGACCACAATTTTTCAAATATTCCTGTTTTTCTGTTTATATCGACAACTTAAGTAGTGCTGCTGTTCACCCCAACTCTTAAAACCCCCAGAATCCTTGCAGTTTTTACACAAAAGTTAATCAAAATATGTTATTTCCTTAAAATTTTCAACGATTTTTACATTCACTCCACTTTGACTCATCGTTTTGTAAAAAAAAAGTATGAACACTACTGCGGCAAGTTTTTTATAAAGTTGACGCAACTATCCAAGATTCCAAAATGGTATAATACTCTAAGAAACCTAGTCGCAAAAAAGATATGCGTACCATTTTTACAAGCACTTCGCTTGTTAGTTAGTATGGGATAAATCTTGCAACTGAATTTAAAACCAGTTCTCCTTAACCAATTGAGCTAAAATTTGGTATACTTGTGTAAGTACGATGACAATGCAATATTATGGTACCATTGAGCTGGATGGAGTCTGGAGGTGGCCATAGGAACTCTTAACGAAACGGCGGAATTGCATCTAGTTTGGGTTCGTTGGACTTGTCTTTTAGAGCACTTTAGTGCTAGATGATGTCCAGGGTCCTGATAATGAAGTCAAGAGGTGGCAGAAGCTGGCCATAGGAACTCCTAAACGAAACGTCGGAAGCTTATCGAGTTTGGGTTCGTTGGATTTGTCTTCCCGAGCACTTGGGCCATGAGATTGAGAAACAACTGAAAAGTTTAAAATAAAGTTGTAATAAAAAAAAACTTTTTTTAAAAACAAGCTTGACTTCGTTTGAAAATTATAACTGACTTCATCATCAGGATCCTGGACATCATCTAGCACTAAAGTGCTCGAAAAGACAAGTCCAACAAACCCAAACTAGATGCAATTCCGCCGTTTCGTTTAGAAGTTCCTATGGCCACCTCCAGTCTCCATGCAGCTCAATGGTACCATAATATTGCATTTTCATCGTACTTACACGAGTATACCAAATTTCAGCTCAATCGGTTGAGGAGAACTGGTTTTAAATTCAGTTGCAAGATTTAACCCATACTAACTAACAAGCGAAGTGCTTGTAAAAATGGTACGCATATCTTTTTTGGGACTAGGTTTCTTAGAGTATTATACCATTTTGGAATCTTAGATAGTTGCGTCAACTTTATAAAAAACTTGCCGCAGTAGTGTTCATACTTTTTTTTTACAAAACGATGAGTCAAAGTGGAGTGAAAGTAAAAATCGTTCAAAATTTTAAGAAAATAACATATTTTGATTAACTTTTGTGTAAAAACTGCAAGGATTCTGGGGGTTTTGAGTATTGGGGTGGACAGCAGCACTACTTAAGTTGCCGATACAAACAAAAAAACAGAAATATTTGAAAAATGGTACTTAGTCGTGGTAATGTAAAATATCATAAGGGGTTTCGAAGAATTTCGCAATTTATTGTGTAACTTGAAAAATAATTGAGATATATTTTTTTCCTTATTTTTCCTAAAGTAGTCATGACTATGTCCATCCTGCGGCGCCGGCTTATCCTTGAATTTTGGGACACGTTGTATATTAGCAATAGGTACCGGTTTGAGATTACTACTAATCCATATCTGTGCACAACCCTAAGCTACCCATACCAGAGAGAGCCCCGATTACGGTCATTTTTAACGTCTCCAATCCAGACGCGCTTCATCGATTCTGCGATACAATTGGTCAAAACAAAAAAAAAACAGCGTACGTCAGCTGTTTTGACCAATCGTATCGCAGAATCGATGATGCGCGTCTGGATTGGAGACGTTAAAAATTACCGTAATCGGGGCTCTGTGTTTTCCTGCCCGAGGCATGTGTGGC